ATGGAAACGATACGTGGATGTTAGTAGAAATGCTGCATGATACACGTTTCTGAGCTAAAATATTCGACCGTACTAGCTGTTAGAATAATTCTCCTGTAAACTTCAAATTGACTGGTTCCTTCCGTTGTAATGGCTAGAATGAGGTACGTGGAGTAATTTAACTATTCAATCAGTTCATCTGCTTCTCCAACTGCAAATATTTAGGCCACATGCTTAGACTTCCGGGCGTCGTCGAAGAGTGAAGCGTTTGCAGCTGAATGTATACTGAAGCAGCAAGGTAAGGAGTAACACATCGAGGCATTTCAATATGCCAATTTATTATTCCTACTACAGACCCGTAAAATGTCTGGCCAAATACCTCGAACTGTGCCTCTTCTCTACAGTGAGGCACCTGTCCTTGCGTGTGTCGTCATGATCTTGGAAGAGAAAGCCGAGAACAATAAGGAACAAGGAAGAAAAGCATACCTTGCAGATGAACTCAACAGTTCAGAGCGAATCACCTACACTTACTCGTTTAACTTAAAGATTACACACAGCTATGGCACACATATCTTCGAATGTTGGCACCACGCGCATAGGTATTCGAAGTTTTCACGCCGGAATCCGTTGCAATTTTTCAAATCGATAAAAGTTGCATGAAAAGGCAAACGGATTCATCGGTATTATTTAATCGATCGAAGATTTAAAATTTTGTCAAAGAATAACGTGCTGCTTCGAATCCTTTTCGATTCAGGAAAAGTTACTTCTGGACGCCTCCTTTTGTCTTTTCTGATGACCCAGAAGAAGAGCTGTCAAGGAGTTAATAATAGTACTATAACATCATGCCATTATGGTCAGAGTAATGATTGACCACCAATTTAAGAATACGAATTTTTTTGAAAATTGTTACGGGTTCACATTACAGTACTGAGAGCATAAAACTTGTCCGTCATGCCACCTCTTCTGTTTCTTGATTAACATAAGTGGAATTAGGTCTGTACGACAGATGTTTCCCACATTTGGAGAAGCAAGGTGTTTCATCAGTTGCTCCCTGAAATTTGCACTCATTTCTCGTCTTGGTTGTCGATTAACTGTTGGAAGTACCGCATTTGAAGAAGAGTGATTGAGGATCTAGTAGAAACACATAGACTGCCTGTCAAGGCTAAATTCTAAGCACCGTAAAAACAGGCAGGTCGAATTAGCCAATAACTGTACACCCATCTAAACACTGTTCACCAATCATCCTGTTCCGTTTTACGTCAGACTGACAGCACGAACGAAA